CGGTTTTTACAAGGATGGGAGTGGGGGCGAGGGATCATCAGGCATTCGATTCTCATAAGGAGTGCACAACCTAGATTCCCTACATGCACAGTTCACCATAGGGTTCGTTCTCCTATGAGAATCTAATGCCGCTGCCGAACTGACAGAAGTTGGAGCTACACTTGCCTACTGCTCACCTCCTGCTGTTTGGCCCCGTTCCTGACAGGCCACAGACTGAGGTTGGAGAACTCTGAGCTATAGCATTACATAGGGATGATGTGCTAAGCCATATCCATACTCTAACAGGACATTTATTGCATATATCCATTATGGGACTTAGCACAGTTTATTCATCTAACCCTGTTGATACATCCTTGTATTTTTGTCCTGCTTCTACCTTAAAAATATGGTAGTGGTTTTAAAATGATTCAAAAAGCTATGCAAATGCTTCAAAACCTTCTGTATCTTTTGGAAACAAAAATCCATCCTCATCACATTGTAGGCATTTGTTTTGATGTGGAATTTGATGTGTTTTTGGCTCTGTTCTATTCTTAAGGACATTCAATCTGCTGATCTTATTATTTTTTATGTCTTTGATGATTTGCTTCCTATTGGTCTGTCCTGCTCAAGTAGCCATATAACCTGTTTGCTGAAAATTTTTTCTTCAGAAGTTTGAATAACCTGTTACATTCTTTGGTATAGTTCTAGGGTGAGTCGTTCATCTGATCTTCACTTACTTTCTATAGATTGCGTCTTGCCCGTATTGACTTGGACTCCCATTTTCTCATAAGCAGATGCTTTGTGTGTCCATGGAAACTTCAGTTTTGCTGGTTTACCTTCCTTGTGTTATTTTCTGTTTCTCTTTTCATCCCCCTTCTCATCCTTTTACCAGTTTCTTATTTTAAGTTTATATCTTTACTTCCTCCTCTCTGATAAGCACAGTGCCATGTATTGAAGATACTGTCTTTGGAGCAGGTAGGCTACTATTGCCCAGACCCTCAGAGTTGGGGCATGTGGTTGAAGGAAGAAAAAACCAAGTTTTGACTTTGGTGATCTCTACACATATCCTGCAGCATTGGGTACTGGTTTAATGATGTATAAATCATTTTGGTTTAGTTTTTTTATTGTGGCTTGTGAACATGGTACCTCTTAAATATTTCAGTCACCTCCAGAGGAAAGTCGAATACTTGCCCACCCTATCGGATAATTTGAATTACATGGGAATGTTAGGCCAGAGTGCTAATTAAAGTTGGTCCTTTAAGACAATAAGTGTTCTAGAATGTTCATGAAACTGCCTTGGGACCAGATGTTGAAACATTCCATTAATTTTATATATTAGGTAATATTTTATATATGCAGAAATAATATAGCTGTGGTGTTCTGATAAGCCAGCTCTCCGCTCACTCAAAATGAGTCCCGACTTGTAGCTTATGTCAAGTCTGTAGTAGAAGCACTTGCTGTAAGGATAGTGTATCTCTAGGAAACTATCAAGAGTGCTGCCTCTGACTACACATTCCAATTTAATGAATTTCAATTTCATCATTAAGTGTTTCTTGATAAGTTTTGAAAATCTACAAGTCTACTTTAGAAATGCTTGCAATTTTTTTTGGGTTTTGCATACTTGGCCTTTTGGTGTGTGAAACTGATGGTGATTTCTAGAGAATTCATTTTCTGCTGTTTTGAATTTTTAGTTCTCTCTGACCTTCATTTCAACAGCAAGTGGCAGTTCAGGAGGTGGTTATTCCACATGAGTGATTAGAAACAAAATGTGGTGATAGGCGTATTTTTGGTGAGTTATTAGATACATACAAAGTCAGCTAAAGTAAGATTATGAGAGCTTGAAAAGAAAAAAATACATAAAGGTTCAGTGCAATGGTAATATAAAATGCTTTGTTATTAAAGTTTCAAAATAAGAAATTAGCATCCCCTTTTCAGTCTAAAGAAGAAGAAGCCCAGTGATAGAAAAGAGTTGTGCATTTTCTGATTACATTTAGCTTTATTTTTTAAAATTTTTCCTTCAAAAGAAGATACTATTTGTATTGTGAACTACTAGAGAATTACTTTTCACACTAAATCAAATTTAAATTGGAGACATTTAAGAGAGAAGAAACCACATAATAAAGGGAAACTGAGGCACAACACAATTTAAAAACACATGAATTTATTTGAGCAAACTCTGATTTATGGATCAGGCAGCTCCAAACCAGAAGTGATTTGAGGGCTCTGTAGAGAGAATACAAGGGGAAGGCTTTTATAAGACTAACACAGAAGTAAAGCCAATCAAATATTTGGTTGGTTACAGTTATAAGTTTGCCTTATTTGGTCTATCCTGCTGGAAGTTCCCTTGTTATATGTTAGTTGGTGGTTTCTGATTGGTTAGCCTTAACTTTTATTTTTCTCAATATAGGCATTTGCAAAAAAACCCAAGCTAAGTTTCACATATATATGCAAATCAAGCAAGGTTAAGGTAACTTCTCAGGCCTCACTGATTTTGTCTGTTCAGGGATCCCTTGGGCCTGTTTTCCATTTTAATTTACTTTAACAATAGGTAGAGGAAACATAACCAATTGAAACTTTGACAAATTTCTGTTCCTATACACAGAATTTTATCTGGATCTTCCACATGGATAAGAATATATTCATTTTGAAATATACTATTTTACTAATTGACACCTCAAAACGTACCTTAATACGTCTCTAAGATTTAGCTATCACAAGCTGCAAATAAAGTCAAAGCAGATGTGTTGTGAGGGAACCAGGAGATAGGTCTTGTCATTTAACTAGCTGTGTCGTGTGCAAATTGACCTCTCTGGATCTTGCTTTATACATAGGAAGGCTGCTGGTATCTTTCATATAATGCTGTGGAGGGGTTTAAAGGACAGGACCTGGAACTTCATGGGTATCTGATTTTTTTTTTTATATTGACAGGAAACGTTTACAGTCACAGCATGATAAAGCTGGAAGGGACCTTTGCTATCTTATCCCATCTTCATGTTTGTAAGGGAGGAAAAGTCAGCTCCATAGCAGTGATCAGTGAGTGAATTTGAAGTCAGACAACATGGTCATTTACTCTTTCTGAGCCCTTGTTTCCTATTACATACTTTAAAAATATTTTTTTCTGAGTGCTCTTCTGACCTCTGTTCCACCTTTCTCCTCAGCTAAACCAGTATTCCTTATAAAGCAATATGCACTACACCAGGCACTGAGACCTTTGGTAGATGACCTCATTTTCGGCCTTACAAACAAAATGAGTCCCTGATTCCGTCAACATCTGTTCCAACCTCCTAGTACATCTTCCTGGAACAAAGGATAGCTAGCAGAAAGACCACACTTCACAGATCAATTGCAGTGAGAATCTTGGTTATGCTTTAGTTTCCACTAATCAGATGCACAGAAGTAAGCGTTGAAATCAAGGTGAGTAAAAGAGTCAGGTGTGTCAGGCATTTGTTTTACTGGTCTGGGTCTAGCACAGAGGTTTTCAAACTTTTCTGTGAAAACTTTAGCATTAGAATCATCTGTAGAATTTATTGAAGTACGGATTGCTAGGTCCCATGCCTAGAGTTCCCGATCTAGTGTGCTGCCTGAAAAGTTTGCCTTCCTAACGAGTTTGGAGCACACCTTCTTTGATGATCTGACAGCAAGGGAGTCTTCTGGAAATTGGAGAAATATTCTTACATCTAAAAGAAATGCTTACAAGAGGCTCTTTTCCACTCAGAATTTGTATGAAAATATTGCCACATGAATATTTCAAAACTTATTTCGCTATTCCGAGTGTAGTTACTTGCCTGTTTGCTAATCTTCAACTCTACAATGAAAGTGGCCCAAGTACCGCTGGGAAATTGTCCAAAGAAAGGCAAATAATTAAAAGCCTCAGTCGGAAACAAATACACCATTCAGCCTGGTTTTGCATGGTGCTGGGGCTTTTGTTTAGGCTCTTTGAATGAGGGGGAGGATAGGGTGAGCACTGAGGGGCAGAATTACAATGGCAAGCCGTGCAGTGTGCACTAGTCTTCAAAAGATTTAGGAATCTAAATTATTGTTTGTTTTTGTTTACTTGGCGATCTTTTTCTTTAGCCAAGTAATTGGGTTGGGTGGCTGGGGAAAAGCCTTGCCATTTGCATGTTACTCCTTTAATTCTGTCATATTCCCATAATATGTTCATTGTTTCAGGAAATTTTGTTCCAAGCTTAGAGTTTGTTTTGGTTTAACCTAAAAGTGAGTTTTAATTTATGAAGTAGTAACATATAGGTAGGTGTCATTTATTTGATCAGATTACATTGTCTCAAATTGGTTTCTGAGTTTTATTAATTTTGTAGTTTAGACTTTTGGTTTTCTTCTAACATTTGGTTTTCTTCTACAGAGTCTGCTTCTTTTTTCTTTTTTCTATCTCAAACTAATGATCATTTTGGGAAAATGATCATTTAGACTTATCCATTAGATCAAATATCTTTATGATGTACTGCCATGTGCCAGAAACTTTGCTAAGCTCTGGGGAGGTGATGGCCAGCAGAAACATCTCTGCCCTCATGCAACATGGCGGTGAAGTGGGGAAAGAGAGAGACTCTGAGCTATATGTTAGCATAAGTGTAAAATTTGGCCTAGGCAAGGTACTACAGACTTCATGCTAGAGTAATTTGACTCGACAGGAAAGGCTTCACTAAGCAGGGAATAATCCATGTTCTAGGCAGAGGGAACAGTGTGAACAAAGGCCTTGGACCGGGAAAGAGCTAGACAAGAGTAGGTGGCTGAAGACAGACTGGAGCAGTTGGGAGAGAGGAGACCAGTTAGTGGGAGGAGATGGGGAGGTGGGGAGTGGATCAAGAGTGAATACTGGTGACTGGTTAGGGACCATCACAACAGCCCAGGGAGAGAAATGGTGTACTGGCAGAGAGAGAGAAGTGGGCGTATTTGTGCCATCTTTAGAGGGTTGTTTTTTGTTTCTTTTTAAAACTATATGGCTAATTGGGTGGAAGTGTGTTACAGATTTGCAGGTTAACTGGTTGATTGTACTTTTTCCCTTTAGGGATTATCCGGTCTGCCTCTACTACTACACGGATGGAGGTCTCCGTGATTTGAATTAAGGGCCAACAAGGAAGTGTTTTTTGTTTGCTTTGCAGCAGTCCTCAAATTCTTTTCCCATCTTCTCTTACTGTAAAAACTGCATTAAAATTCAAAAAATGAAGCAACTGAAAAGAAAAAGGAAAAGCAATTTTAGCGTCCAAGAAACCCAGACCCTTTTGAAAGAAATTACGAAAAGGAAAGAAGTCATTTTCTCCAAGCAGCTCAACACAACAATTAACGTGATGAAGCGGATGGCTTGGGAGGAGATCGCACAGTGTGTGAATGCCGTCGGAGAAGGAGAACAGAGGACAGGGACGGAGGTGAAAAGGAGGTACCTCGACTGGAGAGCACTTATGAAGAGGAAGAGGATGAAGACCAACCTTAAGCTGGTTGGCTCGGGGTTTCCCCTCCCCTCGTCTGACTTAGATGACTCTCTCACTGAAGAGATAGATGAGAAGATTGGATTCCGGAATGACGCAAATTTTGACTGGCAGAATGTGGCAGACTTTAGGGATGCAGGTGGATCCTTAACTGAGGTCAAGGTGGAAGAGGAAGAACGGGATCCCCAGAGTCCTGAAGTAAGTCTTAGCCCGTGTACCCTCTTTTCCCCCTCCAGTTCTTTTCTTAAGTCAGAGCCTCTCACTCTGTCACCCAGGCTCGAGTGCAGTGTCAGGCTCACGGCCACTGCAGCCTCGACCTGTTGGACTCGGGCAATCCTTCCACCTTAGTCTTCCAAGTAGCGGGAACTACAGACACATGCCACCATGCCCGGCTACTTTTTTGATGATTGTAGAGACGACGTCTTGCCAAGTTGCCAAGGCTGGTCTCGAACCTGAGCTCAGGCAGTCCTTCACCGTGGCCTCCAAAGTGCAGGGATAATTAGCGTGAGCCACCGCACCCGGCTTTTTTTCCGGGTCCCATGTGAGAATTTATAGTTCAGAAACGGTTACGTTCCTCGATTTTCAGGCTTACTTCATTAAAGACAGCACGTAGGTTCATTCCGTTTGCCCCCCTTTGAATCATTGCTACTTTTCTTCTGGCCTAAACGTAACTCCCTTGACACGTGTTGGTGACATCAGGTAACGTAAGCGATTTTCGGAACCCGAGGGCAGTGGTTTGTGTGCTCGTTCGCGCCGAAACTCTTAGCCGCGTCGCCACCCCGAAGTAGCAGCGAGCCCTGAAAGCTGCTTTTCTCTTTTCTCCCAGTTTGAGATCGAGGAGGAAGACGAGATGTTGTCAGCGGTCATCCCAGACCCTCGGAGGGAAAACGAGCTTCCCGATTTTCCGCACATCGATGAGTTTTTCACCCTTAACGCGACGCCGGCCAGAGCGGCCTACGACGAGCCCCACTTGCTGGTCAGCCTCGAGAAGCAGAAGCTGGAGTTGGAGAAACGGCGCCTGGATATCGAGGCCGAGCGGCTGCAGGTGGAGAAGGAGCGGCTGCAGGTGGAGAAGGAGCGGCTGCGGCATCTGGACCTGGAGCACGAGCGGCTCCAGCTGGAGCGGGAGCGGCTGCAGATCGAGAGGGAGAAGCTGAGGCTGCGGGTGGTGAGCGCCGAGAAGCCGGCTTTGGAGAGTGAGCCGGGCGGCCCCGGGGAAAAGGCCGCGCTCCAGCCGCAGGACATCGAGGCCGAGAAGCTGAAACTGGAGCGGGAGCGCCTGCAGCTGGAGAAGGACAGGCTGCAGTTTCTGAAGTTCGAGTCCGAGAAGCTGCAGATTGAGAAGGAACGCTTGCAGGTAGAGAAAGAAAGACTGCGGATTCAGAAGGAGGGACACTTGCAGTGATCTTTCGGGGCCTCCATCCAAAAAGTGTCTGTAAACCGTAGGTTTTTCTCGTACCAGGTGATACCAGGATGGTTGTTGGAGTAGCTATGGGTTTTTTTTCTTGTCTGATGTCAGTGTTTTCAACAGTAGAACGTTCCGTGTGAGTAGCTGTATGCTTAAGTAGTGTATTATATAAAACCTTTGTACCCTAGCATAAAAAAGTATAGTGGAAACTTGTTGTGCCAGACTCTCTACTTCCGTAATATTACGTGGAGTCTGGTATAATCTGTGTACTCAGAGTTTACAATTATGTCTATGTAAAATTCCAGCCCAGAGGTTCTCGGCCAGAGATGATTTTGACCCCCGGAAGACATTTGGCGATGTCTGGAGACTTTTGGTTGTCAAAACTGGGGCGGGGAGCAGGTTGCTACTGGCATCTAGTGCCTAGAAATTGGGAATACTGCTGGACATCCTGCAGTACACCCCATCCCCAACACACATAGTAAAGAATTATCCAAACCCAAAATGTCTCATTAGTGCTGAGGTTGAGAAACCCTATCCTAGCCTAACTGTGCTCCTCTATACCTGTTTCATAGTTGTAGAATCTTAAAACCTCAAATACGAATGTGAATAGGTACTTAACATGGCCAAAAACTTTAACCGCGAACGTTACTGTGTAGTAGATTGAGCATTGGGAGTGACGAGGATGATAGATTTCTCATTCCCACGTTTCCCTCCGAGTAGCCTTCTGAGAGTCAGAACATAATACAGGAATGTCAGAAATTGTCTAAAATGGGTAAATTTGAAAGACAGTCCATTCATCTAGCTATTGATACTTTAGAAGCAAGATCGCTTTGAAGCTTTAGTTCCTTTTCTTTGAATCATTATCTTAGTTGGGGTCTCCAAATTGTCATTTCGACCATGTTCTGAAATCTTACGTAAGTGAATGGTTGAAGCTAGCAAAACCGGTACCAGTATAAAAATGGTCCCAGTAGTCCACGAACTTGAACGAACTTGATTGTTTGACTTGTTTTGAAAGTAATAGCGGGGCCGGGTGTGGTGGCTCACGCCTATAATCCCAGCACTTTGGGAGGCCGAGGTGAGAAGGTTGCCTGAGCCCTCTGGTTCGAGACCAGCCTGGGCAACTTGGTGAGACCTCATCTCTACAATAAATCAAAAAAGTAACCGGGCATGGTGGCACATGCCAGTAGTTCCAGCTACTTAGAAGGCCGAGGCTGAAAGGATCACCTGAGCCCAGCAGGTCGAGGCTGCGGTGGCCGGGAGCATGCCAGTGCCCTCCAGCCTGTCTGACAGAGTGAAACTCCAACTAAAAAAAAAAAATAAGTAATAACAGTTATTTGGGATTGGAGGTTGGGGGGCGGTGTCTTCTGTATCAAATAATAATGATGATGTTGAGATAACAATAGCAGGTATGTGTTATGGATTGTGGGAAGTACTTGCCACACAATATCCGACCAAATCTGTAGAACAGTTCTTGAGAGTGGTATCGATTATTCCTGAATCTGAAGTTCAGAGAAGTCATACAGTGAGGAAATGGCTGATCTTTTTTTTTTTTTTTGAGTTGGAGCCTCACTCCATCGCCCAGACTGGAGTGCAGTGGCCGCTCCCGGCCACCACAGCCTCGACCTGTTGGGCTCCGGCGATCCTTCTGCCTCAGCCTTCCGAGTAGCTGGAACTACAGGCGTGCGCTGCCACGCCCGGCTAATTTTTGATGTATTGTAGAGATGAGGTCTTGCCAAATTGCCCAGGCAGGTCTCAAACCCGTGGGCTCAGGCTATCCACTCACCTCAGCCTCCCAAAGGCGCGGGATTACAGGCTGAGCCACCGAGCCCGGCTTGATCTTTTTATGTTATAGTGTATTCTGTCTTTCCCCCTCCCTGAGGAACAGTGTATGCCTTTTTAACCTCGTTGGAATTTAATCTGAGACCGGGGGCTTGCTTAATCTGGTAATTTTCCTTCAGTTCCCTGAAGATGCTTTTTCCACAATCCATGTGATTCTGATGCACATGAAAGTTGAGAATCCCTGCACGAGATCACTTTGTGTTTTCTGATTTCCAGGGCCAATACGTAGCTTTAATACATGTCTTCTGTTGACAGATACTACCTTGATTTTGCATTTGTTCCTTGTTAATTTAAGGATGGCTTGAAACCATTGTTGACATTTGACTGTGGGTATGCAAGGAAAAACTATGCTTCTGCTTGCTTACCCTGACTTTAAAATAGTGTTATTTTTCTATATCTGAAATAAAGGCTTCTACTGTAGAAATAAATTTGTCTATACTGGCTGTCTGAAAGTTTGTCGTTTCAATTGATACTCAGTGCTCTCAGGGTAGAGGTTATCAAGTTTGGGAGATAACCCTATCATGTTCACTGGGGACAGGGCCCTAACATTTGGGCTAGGCATTGAATTCTGTGTGTCTCATGCATTATTTTATTTGCTCCTCAAAACAGCCCTCGAGTTCTAAGTCATGTTATCTTCACCTTTATAAGAAAAAACAAAACAGAGCCTTCTCGATTCAATGAGCTATATACGTGAAAAATTATATACCTATATTGACCCAAGATTTTAGCGTAAGAGCTCTAAGGAGATGAAAGAGTGAAAGTTTGTAGGTGTTGTTATAATTAATCGTAGCTTTGCCATTTGCTACTCGTGAAAGTCATTTAACTTGCCCTTCAACTTGATTTCCTCATTTGTAAAATGAGCATAATGATACCTGCTCTGCCTGTGCTTCCTCGATTTTTTTCTATTTATCAAGAAAATGGTGCATGTTAAATATGTAAATTATAAATTGCTACTTAAATGAAAGATGATGTTAGTATTGGATTTGAGATCAGTGGATTTTAATTTCCTAAGGAAAGCATGAAGATAGTCAGTAATTTTGAATAGAGCACTCTTAAGTTCTTGAGTCAGAAACTTCTAGAGCTTTGGTTGAAGAGCCTTGGGTTTCTTTTTCTTGTGCCCCAGGTGCAGATGGGTTGGGTGGGTTCACTCCAGTAGAAAAACAATGTTGCTGCATTTAGATGGTGGGGCTGAGCTCTTCCTGTGGTGTTTGATCCTTTACCAGGATAGCTTGGGAAGCTTCTAGTGGGGATGGCAAGAGTAGAGGAAGGAGAAGTGCTCAAAGTATCGAGGCCTAGTCTCAGAACTAGCATGTCATCACATTTCTGCCATGCTGGATTGGCCAAAATTAATCACAAGGCCAGACCAGAGTCAAGGGGCAGGGAATGGAGTCCACCTGTTGATAAGAGAAGCCATGAAGTTGTTCTGTAAAAGCTAGGGATACAGGGAAAGATGAGGAATCTTGGCCATTTTTGCAATCAGTTTACCATACCTCTATTCTGATTTGCCTGGGAAACTCCTGATTATACTAGGGGTTCAGATATCCTGTCTGGTTTAGCATTTGTCTTATACAAAAATGCCCTGATAAGGATTTTGCAAAGATGTTAATTTAGAAGAAAGAAGGGGCCATCAGTTGGCAGAAAAATAAAGTGTTCTCTCAAGGCTTTTTTCTTCTAATTGAATACTTTGGTTTTTGTAATTGAAGGGAATTCCTGCTTCACTCTTTCATTTTCTGCCTAATTTGTCCATTTTTTTTTTTATTTCTTCATGCTTGCTTTGCCATCTGTATTCTGTATGTAAAAACAGATCATCATGCTTCTAGAATTTTTTTTTTTTTTTTTAGTTAATAGGTACCTCTACTTCTTAACATTTTTGTTTTGAAGTCAAAATGATTTTTACTGTTTTGCTCTACGTTGCTTTAACAGTATACGTGCCCAAAGTAAACTTAACTTATTAAATATTTAATTTTTTACTTTGGCAATGCTTTTTAGTCACTCTCCTCAGACCTGAAGTTATAACCTCTAAAGCTCCCCAAGTACTATCAGCTGATTTGCTTTTCCTACCTCTGACTTCTTTTCGATATATGCTTGGCCTTTATGTGCAGGTCAGGCAGTATTTTGTGCAGTGCCTTAATTAAAATCCAGATGAAGATTGTCTGTCAAATGTACCACTCTGAAGATTTCTCCTGGTGCATATTGAAAGGGATTTAGCTTATGTATGAAGGAGGCAGCTGGAGAAGAACATATCTTCTTGGAGAAAAAATAGGTAAGTTGGTTGCTGAAATCACCGAGTACTAACTTACCACTGTAGACCATGCTGTTTGAATGAAGACCAGGAAGAAACAAGAAATGACAATTATACAATTTGAATTTTGATATATTCTGAAAAACCGAGAACTTTGTCAATGGCTTTCATCAGTGAACACCATTTGTTATGTATCATTGATTTTTCTGATGTGACCCATTCATCTTTTAAAAAAATAATAAATTGAAATATGAAGCCCATCAACTCTAATGTCAATTTCCTTAAAAATTGTTCCTGTTCCAACATTTGAGCTGAAATAAAAACCTCTACTTACAACTGTTACAAGCACCTCCTCCTCTATGCTTTGCTATTTCCTCAAATACCGAATGCACGTCAGAATCAAGTTTATTACCCCCTTCTCTCATACCTGTAAATCGATCTTGCCTCTGCCGGGGCACCATCTGTAAAGGTTGTTTGGGAGTTTCAGGTGTGTTTTTGAAGGCTTTGTCCTCTTCTTCCTACTCAGGTTGTTGATTAAATCCTGCTTTTCCTTCTGCTGATGCCTCAAAACAGTCTTCTCAAATCTCACACATAATCCCCAGCAGCCTCCTCTCGGTTCCTTCCTGCTCAGTCTTCCCCGTATGACCCTCCCTGAACAGATTTTCCAAATACTCCCTTCCTTACGTACTTAGAATTGACAGGCCATGAAATAGTGGAAGAGGAGCACAGCTCAGGTAAGACCAGTCCGAGCTCCACTTCCACTGGGTGGTGTGGAGTGGTCGGTCTCTCAGAGCCTTACTCTTCCTGTCTGTATCACAACTCGTAGCTGGGCCCTGCCTTCCTCTCACCATGTTTGGAATAATAATAATGCATGATAATGCCGTTTAAAACTGGAAGGCAAGTTAGAGATAATACAAATTTGTTTTCCCTGCAACGAGTCTCCCACTTCCATATGAAGTATTAAGTCCACACATGTCCTTTGCTGACCCTGTTCATACAAACATATGAACATATTTCCTCATACCAACATAACTAAGTCTGCTTGTCCAACTGCTCTCAGATACGCAGTGCAGTTTTCTCTCATTTGCCTTTGCTCATATTACTTTCACCCTTCGCCTTACTATTTTCTATCCTAGAGTGACAATCAGTGCACATTTTTTCCCATGGTAGGGCTTTGTTATTTCTATCGCTCTTTACCATAATTTAAAAATATCAAAATGAATTTCACTGAATAAAATTGGAATATTTTATCATATGAAATTGGTATCATTATGTCTTTCAAAATCTCCTTAGGGATCTTTTGAATAAAAATGTTAAAGTCAACACAGCAACATGTTAAAATCAACACAAATGTTAAAGTCTGTGCAGCTTATGACTCATTCCCCTCTTGTCTGAGAACTCCCTAACTCCAAGAGTGGGCCCTAGCAGCTATGTGTGTTCTTTGATGATCATTCAGACCAGAAATTGTTCATGGCTGGGGCTTGCATTCCCTGACATAATTGTACCATTCAAAGGATTATCTTTCTCATTAAAGATGATTAACATCTTGACCCAGATCTAATGTTGGCTTTGATGATTTTGCAAATAAAATAGAATGGAGAAGATTTTACTTCTTTTTTTTTTTTGAGTTGGAGTCTCACTCTGTCTCCCAGGCTGGAGTGCTGTGGCACACTCACGGCCACACTCACGGCC